CCCTTCGCACAGAAATGAGCCGCACATTTGATCACTGAAAACTGGTTATCTATCTTCCTTACCATTTTGAATGGAATAGGCAATATAGATGATAAATAAGATTCTAACCAATGTTCCGTGCAGATGCCCACGGGAGTTCAGATATACAGGGCATGCACATTTATTTGTTATATGGTTTGTGTCGATGTCATCAGTATTAGCTTCCTGAAATTCGAACAAATATATCTTTGGATCTATAATGACACAATAGCAAAATGGTACATATAATAACAAACACAGATTACTTTAAAATACGTTGCGTCTTAACTATAGACATTTGTTGTTTACTCTTGTTACCAGCCACCTGGTAGGCATATCCTGTATGGAGGACAAAAAAGTAATAAATCATTTCAGCCTGCAAATAGTAAAAAATATAGAGTGAAAGCAAAACGAGAATGGGTCACGGTCACGTCAATATCCTAAATATCTATTGACGTTGGGACGACAAAACAATCTTTTCGCCCAGACTGGAAGTGACGACAATTCAAGATGGCGGCGCCCTTGCGAAAAAGGTCTATAATGAGAACAAGGTATAAAACAAAAAATACAGAGACACTTAAGACTGCTGGAATGCGGAAACATTATAGTCCCTTTGGTGAAATGATTCGGTGATTCGGTGTGTGTGTGTTTGCGTATACGTTTGCTACACACCAAAAACCTTCGAACCATTTCAATTCAGAATGATGAATTAGTTACGAGGTGACGTCTAAATATGGCTGCGACGTGACGCGCGCAATGTCGCACGCACTAGGCACACCTTTAGTCAGCCAGAACCATGGAGCAGCCCTGGCGTCGGGGAAGCGTGCTCGTCTCGCACCCCCGAGGCCCGAGTTCGATTCTCACCAAGACCGAAATGTACGAAACTTTCCTTTCAAAGCCATTCGTTTACCTTGTTTTCAGGAATATCCCTGAGAAATTTGACGTCAATCCGAGCATTTATGGCGTGTTTTTACACTTTTGCGCTGTCAGCCATTTTTGGCAGCATCACTCGGTCACGCCGCCGCCGTCGCCTGATTTTCGCCTAATGGGGCATATAATGCTTTCGCATTAAAAATACTTGGGGAACGAAAAGCTATTTCATAACTATTTATTTATACAAGGTGAAACAGAGCACAATATTTTGAGCACGTAGCTCGCATGCGAAAACCAACAAAATGTCTTAAAAACCTTTGGAAGCCGCAGTTCTTCCTACGGATACCTACTATGCCTCCCTCAAAATGTATAAAATAGCGGAGTGGTTTGGAACTACATCATTGCTGTGGCGCGACATAATCTTTCGTGAGACGGTATCAACATGAAATTGCAGCGATAAAAGAAATCTTCGAAACCGATTGAGAGAAACATGGCCTCTTATATTAACCCTAAGACGACCTGTAGGCGAAAGCCCAAGTGCCAATGCATTAAAGGCAAACACATGATTTACTTTGACTCTTCTTTATTCGCTTTGTGATCCTTAATTTCATTGCCTCTAATTCGCCTGAGTGATCTCGTAAACGTGATAGCGAACCTGCGAAAACTGCGCGCTCTCTGAGCACATTTGGCGCAGTTTCCTTGGCTCACTCGGATCGTGGCGTCGGCTGTGGTCCCGGTGTAGCGAACCTCCGAAAACGGCGCGCAATCTTACGACGCACTTTTGGCGCCCTTTCATTGGCTCACCCGGATGGTGGCGTCGGCTGTGGTCCCGGTGATAGCAAATTTCCGACGACAGAGCGCTCCCTGACGACGCACTTTTGACGCACTTTTGCCGTGTTTTTGTCGTTTTCGTGTCGTCGACGTGTTTTCGCTAAAGAACCTTGAAGGTCGACTAAACGATGAGACATATAAGGCTTTCGCCTAATTTCAAATTGCTCGTAGCTTGAAATCCATTCTGGGGTTTTGCTTTCATCTATTTTGCGAATCATTTTCTCTTCCGTTGGGAATATATGTGAAACTTCGGTAACCCGGCACAACACCCATAAGGTGCTAATCCTAAAATTTGCTGTAACCACTTTCGCTCTCGAGAGACGAAGTGAAAATAAAGAATCGTGTCTCGTCTCCCCATATCCAGCGACCTTCTACGTGGCACATCCACTATCTTGCTTTTCTTTGCATGCGTCTAGCGTCTGATAAAGTTAATCGTCCCATCGCGTAATCTTTTCCTTTTTTTTGTTTTTGATAACATGTTTTCGCTGCAACCTATACCACACTTCAATTTTGGCCGCTTTGAACAAAAACTAGGGAAGTGACGACGCACAAACACACACACACACACACAAAAGAAAAAACAGAAAAGAAAACCGAAGCCCTAGTGGAATTTCGACCCCCTTTGTGACATGGTCTTGAAACCTCTCTCGTCTTCCGCCATGGGTTACACCTCAAACCAACGTGCTCCTTTTGGGTTCCCTGGGGGTGCTGACGGCGGCACGTGGGATAAAAATGCATATTGTTTCCAGGCTGTTTTCTTTTGAACGGGGCGCGCGCAAGATCAGTCTCTGTGATCGCCGCGTAAATCCACCTCGAACGCGTAAATGGAAAGCATTAGAAAATCGTTGAGCGTATGTATTTCCATGAGTCCGCGTAATTGCCGCAAGTCATTTTGTAGCCACTATCATTTGACATTTACCGTAAATGCAGACTATACTTCCTTTCAGCTTAGGTCTGAGCGCGGCCGATGTTATGAGCCGAAGGGCCAATCAAATAGCCAAAAAAGCACAACGTCATGGCGTGCTCTCTGCAGTTGATAGGACCAGCCGTTATCTGCCGTCTCTCTGTGCGTGTTCCTTCGCCGGCTAGTTCTATCAAGCGCAGAGAGCACGCCATGACGTTGCGCTTTTTTGCGCTGTTTCATTGGCCCTTCGGCTCATAACATCGGCCGCGCTCGGACCGAAGCTGAAACGAAGTATAATTTGCGGGTCCCACTAGAGGGCAGAGGTGCACAACATACGGCCCGCGGGCTGCCTGTGGCCCGCGCGCGCTTTTCTAGCGGCCCACGGCCCGGTTCAGCGCAGAAAGTTGCTTACTACCAATCCACCGAGCACCCGCCCTGTTTGGCAAGCAGCAGTGAAACTTTCTGACCTACTTTTCTCCGTTTTCGGCGAAGGAATTATGATTTCTGATTTCAATATTTTCCTCTCCAATAAAGCAGCGTGTGCAACCGCCCCTGTCCTTGGTGTGGTTCTGTCTCAACATGTCTGTACACGGAACGCGAAAACTTCTTGATCTCTCTCAACAGATCACCTTCCCTCTTTCACCACGGAGGCTACCAAACCTTTCCCTTCCTGTTGGGATAGTTAGAAGTTCCATCGTCGGATCGAAGGACTCCGATCCGACGATGCAACTGGAGCTCATCGACCTCCAGTGTCCACCAGCTCTGAAAACTATGCATCGCGAATCTCAGCTCCATGAGTTCAACAAAAACCTGGACAAGAACAAGCACCGAAGCTTGGTGGACCAAGCCTTGAAACCGTCGTCACTTCTCGGGAGCACGTATGTTTGTGAGCAGACCCACTCACTGATAACTCTCAACAAGAACCGTCTTCGATCTGCCATGACGAACGTGACATTGCGAGATATGCTAAAGACGTTAACGAGTGCGATGACACCTGATATCGGAAGCCTGACCGCAGCCAATATATGCAACAAGTCGCACTAGCTCCGGTCCCCACAGCTAATCCCCACGCCTAATTTTTTAGTTGTGCACCCCTGCACGCCAAACAGGCCGGTGCGTAAATGAAAGTGCGAGAGAACACGCAGCAGCTATCACACAGACGCCGTCTGGACATTTGGCAGTACATTGTGATCGATGCCCGTGCACCCCTTATTCTAATACACAACCATCCTTGGATGGCAAAGAGAAAACACAACTAGAAAAATTTACGAAGCGTTTGTCATCAAAACAAGGGGCGCCGACTAATGTATCAGTGAGCCGTCTGTGGCCCTGTTAGATAAGGAAATGTTATTTTTAATAAGAGAGTGGGGTGGCTGAAAATGACGTGGTTTTATTAAGGTATTTAAGCCAGTGCGTTTTCTAATAAACTTCATAATGCGAGTGCGCTCAGTCTTGTCGTCACATTCTTCACTTTGTTCCCGTCATTCGATGATTCTGTCCAATTTACCTAATTATTTTTAATTATTTCTCATATTTCTTTCGAAGGTGTCCGGTGGGTTAAAAAGCTAACGAATGCAGTTTTCTTGTCGTTTGACCGCAAACTTTTATTCGGGCGAAAAGGAAGTCGGCCCTTAGCAGACGACGCGTAGCATTAGCAGTGCTCTGCGCCGAAAGCGTGTTGCGTCAAAATGGCGGTCGTTTCCTCTTTGCTCACTCCTCCCTCTCGCTCCTTAGGCGCTCTCCCTCCTTTCATTCACTTTTCTCCTTTCCAGCGCCTTCGTCGCCACGCCTACTGGCCAGACTATCCCAATATACTACTCTGGTCGTGCCTAGTTAAGGAATGGCTGATTATTACAAAGAAGCGGGTTATAGCAATATATGACTTTATGAGCCACAAGAAGTGTGCAAGAAATGTTGTGTGATATATCTTCACGGCCTTCATTCATTTTCTTCCTCTCTAGTATGCAAGGAACATTTTTATGTCCGCAAGCAGTAAGGCATCATGATACGGGTGGCGTTATGAGGCGGCGAGTTTGTTATCGAGTTTGTTATCCAAGTGTCCAAAGAAGTGGCCGGAGATGATGGTGGCATCCAAGGAATGGTGGTGCCGCCTGCCTACTCTCCGCGCCCTTACTGAGTATCGCAGCGTAATGTTTTTGTATTGACGAGGAGATTGAATGTTGCAGAGAGCTTTGCGCGGTTCATTGAAGCATCCATGCTTTACTAATGCAAGTGTACCCGGAACGCGTAAAACACGTCAGGGTGCTCACGGTCTTAGGTTAAAGCAAGTGCCTGCTTGAACCATATTTTTAACTTGCTTCGCTGAAAGTCCACTGAAACCTGCACTTTGTGAGTCGGTGGGCGTCACTCGCAGATTTCACACATGGGGGACTACGAGGGCGGCGGAGGTTCGGGCGCCGCCAACACGACCAGCGAGAACCAAAGTTACGACTCTGCCATGGTCAGCGTCACGCTGGCAGAGCTGCACGAGATGGCTCCGGAGGTAAGCCACTCTCCCACCCATTGTGTATCTCCACCGAGCTTAGAAACGAATCTCAGTGGTAGGAAAAAAAAATGGAAGCTGCATTTCTATATATCTACTAAACCGTCATATGATGCAGAATTGAAATGTATGAAAATAGTGGGCATCGAAACTTTTCTATTGGCACACTGATTAATCACAAGACATCACGTGGCGTCACTTCAAGTTGCGGACGTCACGTGTTGCCATGACGCCACGTGATCTATATCTTGCGATATGGTCACGTCACTTCACGTCCAGCTGCACCACGGCTTGGCACCAAATGTTTCTGCACCACGGCTTGACACCAAAGCGACGTCACGGGGCAGCACGACCTCGCACCGTGAAAGAAGTGATGTGCTATGCGCGCAACTTACGAGCATGAATTCTGTGCAAAATTCCGTTTTTCTTTTTCGACCAGCACGGCGGGAGGGTCAGGACGGAGGTTTGGGCACCAGCGATTCGTGCTTCACCCCAAATAAGGTGTCATCACGCTCGGGGTCTCTCAGTTGACTTATGCATTTGGGCCGTAGTTCCGTGGTAAAAAAAAATCAAAAGAAGGAAATCATGCTTCTTAGAGCATCAATAACTTGCACGACAAGGAAGAGCTAAGACGGAATCTTCGCCAGACACCATTGTGGCCCTGTTGGTTTTATTTGTATATTTTCTTTGGCAAAGGTGCTACAAAGTGGTGAAAAAGTATGCACGCCAAAATGACGACAAACATTGGGTAGCAAAATAATATTGAAAGTACAAAATTATTCTAGAGAGCACATAAACGCCCCTATCAGACGGCACCTAAAATGGCATTTACACCAAATGACATTCAGTGTAAATGTCATTTCGGCAGTGTCACGCGGCAACTCAAGTGGCAACTCAAGTGGCAACGTAAACGTCATTTTATATAAACCGAGTTCCCCAAACTGATTTACAACACCCAAGTCGTAATCTCGTGGCAGCGCTCGACATATTTTACGGGGTTAAAAGAAAATGAAGTCATAATACACCTGCCAGAAATATTTTTACATCGCTTTAATTACGAAAATAATATTTTTAACGTATATTTCGCACACACCTTACGCTCCTAATTGTTTAACATACTCACGGCTCCAGATATCCAGAAGGCTTAATGGCTCTGAACCTGCCATCAGCACGCTGCGGTCGGCTCTCGGTTCGGTGGTTGCAGTTGCGCTCAACATTTACCCGTTTTTACGATGTCGGAAGGAGCGTCTGCCGCAACCTGTCAACTGGACAACCCGAGAGACGTCAGTACTCGAACCATGTGAGACAAGCGCCTCGAAGGTCTTCGGTAGCAGAAGCAAAACGGCGGGCTCTGGGCCGGCATATAGGCGTTTTAGAAGCCCTCGGTTTCCTCAAAACATGCGCCGCAGTCCACCACAACACCGAAACCTTAAGCAACATGTTTCGGTAAGGCATAACTTTGATGGCGGGCGTAACCTGCCAAGCCAACAGGAGCACGCAAAAAAATTAGCGAAAAGGGGGCGTCCGCCTAGTCTTTGTTTTGCGTGTTTGGGCCGTCGCAGCCCTGCGTACCTCGAACGAGTTCATTGCACGAGCGGCTTGGTCGTGGCTCATAGTAGCGGTCTTCGCTAGCAGCGCTTTAAATTTCGCGTTTTTTGCTCAGGCAACAAATACCTCCCGAGGTTGGTTGACATGCTTTGTCAAATGTACCACTTCCGAGAAGAGATTCTGGCAAGAATGCAAGACGACAAAAAGAGGTTACTTTCTTTTTAAGTGGTACGAACATTGTAAAGGGTCTGTTCTTTTAATACATGTAGTGTAGGTATTCGAAACCGTAACATTTCACCGGCTTTTACATTCCTATTGACATGGTCCAAAAATAAATAATAAACGCTTCATGAAGTCAGTCTCTCAATGTTTTTATTTCTAGCTTTCTTTAATATGAGGTTGGATAATCCCATACTGTTTCTAAGCTAGATATGCTACGTGTGTTTACATTTAAGCATCATATCACTAGGAATACGATCCGTGCACAACTTTGAATTCCAAAACATTCTAAAAATTGTTTAATAATGTATTGCATATATGCATTGAATACAGTTGCTTGCTGCACAGTTGCCACTTCAAATATCTACATGTTCCAGAAAACATCTACTGCTTAGGGCCACCATAGAAGTTGGCAAAGTGAGCTGGCAACATTACAGAGAAATCTACAAGTTCCTGGGATCGCCGCCTCTGAATAACAAGCCGCAGTTTCTTTCAGCCATGAACACTTGTGTGACATTCTCCTCACTTGTTTTCAAACGTGTGTGCAAAAGCACTGCAGAAAGCGACCTGTCTGAGGAGCTTTCTGGAAAAGCAGCAATAAAACAATTTTGTGGGGCTGAGGAGGACAGTGCAATAACCAGCATCAGGGCCGCCACTGGTATTGACTTCAAGTGACCTGAGACCAATGGCAATGTCAGTGATTATGCTATGAGTTGCAGAACAGGCCGACGAAGCAATGGTATAAGGGCCGGCGCAAGCAGTAATGTGCAGCTGACAAGAGTGAAAACGAAGAGGCCACATAGTCGTAGAAGCTACTTCGGCTCGGCTTTAAAGCAGCCCGACATGCTGCAATAGGGCACCCAAAACATGCAAGTCACTTGCAGCAGCAGTGGTGGTATACCTAAATAAAACGACTGAGCAAGGAGTTGTATTCTATATTGCTGTTGCATCTTTAGCTGAAGGTTTCCGTCCTGGAACCAGAATGGAGCATTGAAATTCTCCTATGTGGGGCGCTCACATCCAACAACTACATTCCAGTCGACCGTAGGGCCGTGTAACTTGCGGCGGGCGACAGCGAAAACCGTTATTATTGCTCTCACTGTTGTCTGTGTGCGTAAATGCGCCCTGCCTGCGACAAAGTTCTCAGTGCAAAGGCTGCCTTCTCCCACTTGGCTCAGTAAAGGTCCCAGCCCAGACGGAGAGGCGTCACAGGCCAGCAATATGGTGCCTGGAATGCGTCTCCGACTGGTGTGTTTACCGTGCCCAAAAACGTGGTGCCTCAATTTCCGCCTGATGACGTCATAAAAGTGTCATGCTGTCGCCGGTCGCGACCCTGGTGGTGTCTCAGCAGCTGTGGTGGATATGGCAGACGCCTGTTCTGCTGCAGGTCGCTCCCCACTGTGACAGTCCACGGAGGCTGCAGCAGCCGAAAGTTGGGACGCCTGGGACGCCGTGACGACAGCGACACTCGCGTTGGCTCGCGCTTTTCGCCAGCATTTCTACGGCCAAACACCAGGATCGCGACAGTCAACAGCATGACACTCCGGCTCCTGTGACGTCATTTGTTGCCACTTGGGGACCACTTTTGATGTATGGGCAGCATAGGACGCTAAACACACCAGTCGGAGACGCGTTCCAGGCACCATACCAGCACTATGGGATGTGACACATTGTAGGGTGCTACAACAGATAAATATCGTAGCAGACTCTTGCACGCTTGTACGCCTCTGCTTCCGTCATCGGTCAGGCCCACACCTTATTTTTATCCAGAAGCCGATGAAGCGGTACGAACACATGAGCGGCATCCTTCAGAGAACGATAATAAATGTTCAAAGCTCCCAAGAACGACTGTAGCTCTGTCTTGTTCGTCAGTTCCGGAGCTTTCTTGATGACCTCAACCTTTTCGGCCGAAGGACTGACGCCGTCCTTGGTGATACGGTGCCCCAGGTACGATACTTTCTGATTCAGAAAACGGACTTGTCAGCATTCAGACGCAGGCCGTCGTCCTGCATGCGCTGCAGCACCCTCTGCAACCGATCGTCGTGTTCAGGTAACGTTTGTCCGCCGATGAGAAGGTCATCCAAAAACACTGCACTTCTTCGAGGCCGTTCATGAGTTGTTTCATATAACGCTGGAAAATGGCCATAGCAAACTGTAATCTGGTCACCTTGAAAAGTTCCTTGTGTGTCGTTACAATGAACAACAGGGAAGTGTCCTCGTCGACGCCAAGTTGCTAATAAGCTTGATCTAAGTTAAGCCGGGAAAACGCTGAGCAACCTTCCAGCCTTGCTAGTAGCTGTCCCAGAGTGTGTAGCGGATACGTCTACCCCTTGACTACTGGGTTGAGTGTTCCCTTGTAGTCACCGAAAATCTTCATGTTCTCATTCTTCTTGAGAATCGGGACGAAAGGCGTCGCCCAAAGAGAGTGCTTGACCGGAACGTATAGATACCTTGTTCTATCAGCTTCTGAATGGCTTCGCCCACTTTCGGTCAAAGCGCGAAAGATACTTGACGTGCCTCGTGCAATTTAGGTGCTGCTTGATCCTCCACTTTAATTTGCACCGGGGGACCCTTGATCTTCCTCTGCTCGGGCATGAACACATCCGAGAAGCCCTCGAGGAGAGTTACCACCTTCGTCCCCAATCTGTGCCGCTAGCCTACAGCTGGACGGCTCTTCCCGTTACAGTTTTGGGAAACGGGGGCTCCATGAATTGGATAAAGCTCTTCCAAAAAGATGCCCAACGGTTGAAACCAGTCCCGTTCAAAAATGCTGATTCCGGCCCTCTTCGTGATGAGTAGCGGAAGCTGAGCGTCTCTGCCGCCATACTTGACCTGCACTTTTACCTCTCCCACGTGATGCCCAGGTTGCTGAGTCTAAGTTCGGACTCCTTTCGTGCACAGTCGAAGCGCCTACTTGGAGATTCCTAGCTTGCACATGGTCCTCAGGTTGACAGTGGAACATACGGAACCAGAGTCAACCTCCATAGATAGTTGGTTTCCGTTAACCGTGACGGTGGCCATGAACACTGGCAGGCCACTCGCAATGTGGTAAAGTCGGTACAGCCTGGTGCGTCCCGATTTGTCAGCACTAGACTTTCTTGGGCGGTTTGCGCTGCACTTTGCACGGTTCCTTGCCGCTTCCTTCTGACGGCAGGCTCGGACGATGTGTCCTTTACGCTCTGCTGAAATGGCACTCCGGGTTGCGGAAACCACAGTTTGTAGCGTCATGGTGT